ATGCAGAGACATACTGCACGCATGTAGTCTCTCAGAGATGGGCTTTTCTGAACAAATGCATTCCCCAAAGCTTTTTTCTTTTCACAATATGTTTATAACCATGAAGAAATTCAAGGTTAGAATAGTGCTATGCCATCATATCATTAGTGCATCACTGCTCTGTAGGGCTGACCCTCAGCACCAAGCAGATGGGGAGTTTCCAAGGAAAATCTGTGATACAGAAAAAATCCGGGTGCAGAAAATGTGTGGGTGCTTCAAGCAACCACGAGCTTTTGTCAAAGAATCAATAGGAGAGAGCTAAAACTGAAAGAAGCTGTGCTCTCTGTGCTGCTCTCCTGTTAGGGATGACGTAAAACTGTGATCTTGGCTCTGTAGGATCACAGTCCCACAGCTTTCTAGCTCTTCCGCCCTGGCTCCATTCTTGTTTAGGTCATTCCACTCTGCCTCCCCAAATTCCTTTCTGGAAGAAATCAAGAGTAAATACAGCCTGTAAAGTGTTCACTGACTCCAGGAAATGGACACTAGTGTATTCACAGATGATTTTTGAACTTTCCAGCCACTGCTTATCAATTTGAGTTCCATTAATATAAATAGTAACTTTTCACCATTATTTTTTGAGTCCATAATTACTGAAAATATTACACAAGAGCTATGAGAGATGTTGCAGCAGAAAATACAGGTTTTTTACACTTTTAAACCACATAAGCCCTCAGCAGGATCATTTTTAGAACACAGTAAAGGAGGAAGGGGGAGAAAAAGGAAGGAGGCTTGCTCACTTGTAACCAAGGTCCATGTGCTGCATAGGGGTGCTCTTCTGTAGCAAAGGCTCCTTCTACTCCTGTTGATACAAACGTGATTGCTGTATCCCCTGTAATACTTTTATATGTAAAGTGCCGTCCATGTAAGAGCCTTCCCCTGGGGAATAAAACATACGTGCGTGAATTGAGAGGGTGTGGGCAGCATTCAACAAAATGATGAAGATATATCACTATAGCTTCTGCCATCAGCATGGGAAACCATTTTGAAGGCAGCAACTATTAATTTTTCAGGAATATATAAATGATGTGCTCCACAAAGCAGGTCACAAGCCTCCTTCTGAGGCAGGGAGTTCCTCCTTATCTCTCCCTGTTAATCTCAGGGCCTTATTACAGAACTAGAATACATCTAAGTCCCACTGCATGACCACCCCTATGATGAGGTGCTGATGTATGTAAGGGCAGGGGACTGCCAGTCTTTCAGTAACATGAAAACTGCAGAAAGGAATCCAGACTCCACATCATGTGGGAATGTGAAGATGCATTTCTAAGCAGGTTCATCGGTGGGGCCAAACTTACCTACCATGACAACACCTAGTGATCTGTTTCCCTGGTGCTTGACAAATGTAACCTGCTATTACTTAAGCAAATGCCTAGAAAATGTACAGACATGACCATCTACAGTATCACTTCCCTTTTTTTCATTCAGTGCTTTCCACAGGGAAAATCATGGCTCTGGTACTTAGACTCAGAGCATGTGTGACATGCATGCATGGCCTCCAACATGCAAGGGGGAAAACCTCCACAGGTATTTTTAAAAATAGTGCTGACTGAAATTGTGGAAACGTAGAAAAGTCACTTACAGTAGTATGCACAGCCTGAACCTTCAAATGACAATGTATGCATGCAATGTTTTGTTCTTTCAATCATGCAAGTGACATAATTTGTCTAAAAAACACACTTGCATGCATAAACTGACTGCAAACAGGCTTTGCACAACCACTCATATCTAAGTCCATAAGCCAGAATTAACAACTTCAGTTTTCTTTGACAGAATATAGTAAAACATCCTTTCTTTATCACAGAGTTGCCAGCATTAGACTAATAAAAAAATCCCTATACTAACCCTGTCCTATTTCAGCACTCAAAATACACTGGAGGACATAAAAAGAATGAACGCACATGCAAAGAATCATCTGTTTCTAATGTGTTCTGGCAAAATATCTCAGCTCTGGCCTTTAAAGACCCATTGCATGCATGTCTGTATGGTGAAACAATGCCACAAGGCAAAAGCGGCATGTTAGCACAAGCTGAGGAGGAGGACGGCTTCACTCACCTTAGACAGAGGGGAATGAGAGCTCCAGACTCCTGGTTAAATTTCAGGTGTACGCTCTCCAGCTGTCTCGTGCGGATTAGCTCATGAGGAATGATAGCTGCTGAGCTCTCACTTTCTAAACTGTCCTTACGGCTTCTAAGAGAAGAGACAAAATGTATGTATTTAGGATCCCAGTGCTGCATGCTATTTCTGCTGTGTTTCAGAGCGGTTGTGCAAATATTGAAGGACACAGGAGCAAACTGTTATGAAGACACATCTGAGTTTTCATCACCCCTACAGAGACACAGCCTCCCTCAGATTATCAGCTGCAGCATGCAGCTCTTCACCTTGATTTGATGACCTAGGATCTGAATTGGTGCACATACATGGTGCCTCTCTTCCCAGCATACAAGAAATAAAATTTCTGGGAAGAACTAGAGCAAAACTACACTCTCCAAAATGCCAAACCACTATAAAATGGCTTGGAAGAATTACTAGGTGTGCCCTCCCTCCTGCTTTTGCTTTATCTTCGGGATTTTTTAGGCAGTGGCCTGCAGGAAGGAGTTGTCCAGTCCCTTGTGCTCTTGTTCAAATATCTTTTGAGGTCTGAGGCATCCCTACAATTGTCTCCAAAGAATTCCTTTCCACAGCTCAACCAAAAGGTTCTGAGAACACTCTGCTTCCACCAGCATCAAGTGCAACAGCCAAAAGATGGACTCTGCATGTGAAAAGTAGGACATCCGCAGACTGCTTTCCCTTGTAAGTGGGGCTGCTTTAAGACAATGCAGCTTTGCTTTCTTATTTATTAATTCATTTCTGCAAAGCCAGCATATTGTGAAGCTATGACTAAAGGTTATGTTGTTAACATGATTAGGAACTTTGCCAGACAGAATCCTGGTATATCTCAAAATACTTGACCATAAACACTTTATATGTTCAAAGAGCATCATCGTAATCCCTTACTCAATAGTCCAGAACAAAGAATGAAGGATGGGGGGGTTATGATTTTTGCAGATGACATGGACCAATGCGATGTTTCTGATATCTGATTCATATTTTTGTGAACTGGCATTCCACATGAACTTAATAGAGGTAAGACTTCGTTAAGATAGTTTCTATAGTACAGAATGACCAGAAGAGGCGGATGGGGAAAGCAGGAGGGAGCTGAAAGATGCCATACTGCAATATGGTTCCATTGTGCCAGACAGACCAAAAGCCAAACGAGGCCATCAGGCTGTGGCTCCATTTGGGAACACTGTTAAAACAAGCCTAGATCCTTCCTGCACCCAAGCGGAGCCATCTTTAACATACATCTGGAAATAATTGTAAAGAAACAGCTTGACCCTCATGAGCAGACTTAGATCACACCTCTACTTGCTTTTACATTTGGGTGCTGTCCCAAAATTACTCCCATCTACCACACACGTAGTAATACAGTTCAGTGTGGCTTCCAAAGCAGATCAGCCTATTACCTCTGCCAGGTCACCTAGTCCCAGGTGAGCCTTTCACCCAGGCTGCTGAGCTGCCCACTCTGAAATGAGGATACAAGCTAAGCTGATACCTCACAGCACCTTCCTGCAAATAACCCAATACCCTGCAGGTGAGGGACATGCAAGAAAAAAAATCAGAGCAGCTTAGTGCAAGACAAAAACTGTAAAACATGTCCCATGTTCTGCCTTAGCACCACATAAAAGCAGTAACGGACCCAGCAAGGACGCAGTAGGTCAGGATACAGCTTATACATGGCGTGGGCTGATGGACTGACAGTCAGCAGTGTCAGTCTGGTGGGTTAACCCTGAAGCAAAAGACACAACATGCTTTGCAGTCTATAGGTGGCACTTAAAGCTGTGTTTAATGTACTTCAGCAAACATTTTACAGCTCTTTGTAGGTGGGGTCTTCAAAGAGTGGAGTGGGCCAGCATTTTGCAGGCTGATTACCTGAGAAGTGCAGTTACAGTTGATTAATGATCAGTTGACCTTAAGCTAAGCTTTGCCTCAACTTCCTTATCAGATCTTATATACACAGTGAGCTGTGGGAAAGTCAGCCTGTGGTCTACCGCTTCCAATCATGCATTTATCAATTCCTACCAAAAGGGTCAGCCATTAGCAACGCATGGTTTTCAAGCAGGCCATAAGCTTGCGCTGTTAAATGCAGTTCCAGAATTAACACACCCTGGAGCAGATCAGGAGTTTTACAGCAGCGTTATTGCTACAGACAAGAGACTGTGCCCTTCTCACCTGGACTGCCTAAGTGCACCAGGCATGTCCCATAACACAGCCTCCCAGGCAATTGCTACTGTAGGTTCATGCTTCGGAAGGACAGACAGCCACAGGACAGTTCCCCATACCCCTGGGCTCCAAACCCCCCGAGCTGAAGGTGGGTTTTTCGGTTTCCACCATGCTAGCCAGTACAGCTGCTAGCACAATGGGGCCACGGTCCTGAGGGGAAACAGCCTCCGGTTGTTAATGCAATAATAGAAATGACGACAACATTCTGGAGGCAAGGGGCAAAGCTTTCTCAGTCTTATTAAAAACAGCAAATGCTGTTTGTCATTACACGCTCAAGAGAAGATGTTGACTAATGTATAACTATCAAACGGAACTGTCATGACTTTAAGGCTGTCAATAATTATGACTTCACATTAATAAGTAACCAGCCCTTCTGTCAAAAAGGTGAAGGAGTGAAGCAAAATGGTAGTTAATACTTTGAATGACATGAAATTATTAATCCTTTCCACAAAACTTTTCCAAAATAGTCACGGTCTCTGTGTTTCTTGTTTCACTTTAGTGGAGCTCACATAATTTCAGCTATTTAAAGTTAAGGGTGAAACTCCAGTAGCAGAAACCAAATAACCTTCTAGCTAAGGTATACCTTTCTAAACCAGAGGGTTGTGTGGTGGGCACTTCTGGACGTATTGTGGACTGTGCATAACACAAAGCCACAGTGCCATCACTTTCAGATTCTGGAACATGTCTCATGACACAGGGACTCAGCAAGACCTATTAAAATTCTTCCTTTGGGAATGGAAATCCTTGTGCTTGACCCTTCCAAAGGGTGATGGCCCAGATGCAGGGTCGGCAGGACTTCTAGGTTGTTATTTGTAAAAAGTTCATGTCGTAACACATGCTGCCATCCACAGCTTGTAGTTTTCAGCCTCATAAGAAAAATGTAGAAAGTTTGCTTTCTAACACTAACATCCCTGGTTTTATGACTGTCAGTTACCCGTAAGCCTTTGCTTCCTCCACCCCATCACCAAATAAATCAGCAGGAAACGCTTGCGGTGTTTTTTTTGTTATGACTAAGATCTAGCTGACTATCACGTAAAATGTTGCAAACTTTGTCTATTCCAGATTTAATACTTCATCCAACCCACACAAAAAAATTCATGTTTCTCAGTGTCCAGAAAAAACAAGTCTGCAAAAGCCAGGGCTGCTGCATTAGGAAAGGCAGTAGATTTAAATGGAAGCAGCATGCCGGAAATGCCCCAGTTTAAGGACTGCACATCTCGTGTTTTGTGAAACTGGAGGGGAGTTGGAGGAGATTAAAACGCATTTCCCTCTGATTGGGAGCTTGTGGGAGGTGTAAACGTGGGCAGTTGTCAGATTAATTCTTTAGATGATTACATTCTTTTTGTTTCTTTAAAGCTGTTTGTAGTTGGGTTTGATGTCTCCTGTTCTGGGCAAGTGTATTGCTGCAGTTACCAAGGTGACTTTAAGCTGACTTTCAACTATTTTTTCCAGCTTCAGTTTCTACCAGTAGTCTGCTTCTGGGTGGAGGAGAGAGGGAGGAAATGATGTTTGTTGGGGTGGTTTTTTTTATTTTTAAATCTTGTGAATGCTGATTAACAGTCCATGAACTTAACCAAAGCCATATTTGGGGTTTTTTTTTTTTTGGTTGGGGTTTGGGGTTTTTTTTTTTTGAGAGGGAGGGATGGTCAAACCATTGCAAAGGTGTCCCCTGTGGCCTGCGGCTTCCCCAGACCTCTGTCAACAGGGAGAAAGGGCCCAAGGAAACTACACGTCCCAGCGTGCTATGCTCCTTCGCGATGTGAGCAGCCACACGCTGGAACCTGTAGCATCCCAGGGGCCCTCTCGTCGTATTAAAGATGAGAGTGGCTGCAACCTGCTTAATTTTATGCCAATTAGCAGCAGCCCGTGGGGATCCTGGAAAATCGCCAATGCAATCACTGGGTTGCACAAAGTTTGGATGTCCCCTCCTTATAAGTCATGTTTATAGCAACCTCTTCTCAAGCAACCCCACTGGCAGTTATTCTATGGGATTCAAGAATAACCAGGTTGATTGGATTAAGAAAGGTTTATTTATTCTTGCATTTGTGTTTTGCTTTATGATCAGAGCGCTTGATCTCATGGATCTGTCACGGAAGGAGGTCTCAGTTCCCTTCCAAGCTCTGTCGCTGACATGGGGCATAATTTCACCACATTTCCAAGTTACCCTCCCAGGTACTAAAATCAGAAAGGACATGTTGTTGGAAGCTGGCCACGGCAGAGGCTCTTTTGTAGGAGTGGGTGCCCACTGCATCACTAACCGGAGTTACAGTCACTGCTCTTTGCTTCCTTGGTACAAAACCCAGCACTGTGACTTACCAAATGCAAACTATTAGTGCAAGCTTACACATCTAGGAGAGAAAGGTTGGACCACTTCCCCCCCCCCCCCCCTTTTCTTCCCTTCCCAGCTGTGGCTATTTCAAACCTCTTCACTCCCTAATGAAGTTATGGTCAAAGATCACCTAAGTACCGGCAATCTTCCAGTGTCTTTCCCAGTTTCCCCTAAAGGGCAAACCAGCAGTTGTGGGAAAGAGCCCTAAGCATCTTGGCACACAGAGTTACTGGACACGTCACGAATGCACAGAGGCAAATGCAATAATGGGGAGGACATGGTTACACAGCTCCTGCTGTGGTCACACTGAGACAAGGCTAGCTCGAGTGCTCAGACCTGGGTGCTCGTCATCCTGGTTAAACCGGACGGTGAAGATGTTCTCTGTGCATTTCCTGGCACAGAAGGGCTCCAAGGACAATGCCAGTAGCAACAATGTTCTTGCCACTCACATATCCCTTTGGAAAGCTGCATAATAACTACTGTCAGTGCTTGCAGGGACCAGACTGTTCCAGACCTGCAGCTGAACTGGGATTGAGAG